GAAATTTTACCAGTAGAAGCACATTTGTAGGGCCTACCCCCTTCCCAATAACAGGCCGACTCCCCACAATAATGTTTTGTTTTCGTTCGTAATGGAATAATTTCGTTGAGCAATTATTCTATCCCGAATGGTGGAAGAGCACGGGCACATGCGAGATCAGGTACTTGGGCACCGTGGGGTCGGCCTCCCCAGGGTCGGCCAACGCTAGGTCGGCCGACGCGAGGTCGGCCATGCCGGGTCGGCCGGACGTGGCGGCTACGTACACGGGGACCGCAACGGCCAACTTAGACGTAGCACATGCCCTAGGGGTGGTACGAGGTCCGGCCTCGCCTATCGCCGAACGGAAGGGTTGAGGGCTCGAGTCAAAGGACTCCATCCCAGAATCGCTAAAACGTCCTAGGGGCGGTACGAGGTCCGGCTTCGCCTACCGCCGAACGGGCGTAACGCAATCTTAACACCCTAGGGGCGGTATGAGGTCCGACCTCGCCTATCGCCGAATGGAAGGGTTCGGGGCGCGAGTCAAATGACTCCAACCTCGGAATCGCTAAGACGTTCTAGGGGCGGTACGAGGTCCGACCTCGCCTATCGCCGAATGGGCGTAACGTAATCTAGATACCCTAGCGACGGTACGAGGCCTGACCTCACGTACCAACCCCAAAATGATGGATTATATGAACCCGGGGTCCAGATTATATGTTGAAAATGATGAACCTGAATATATGTTGAAAATGACGAACGAATAATAAAACGGTAAATATTGTATTAATCGAACACAAAATGATATTACAGAGGTTCGGGACGTGTAATAACAAGACAAATGTTGTAGGAAAAGTATGAGATAGGAATCAAGTGTCCCTTGTTAGGATAAGGGGAGGGGTTTTTATATGCTACAACCCTCTAACCGCTCCCCCTAAACCGGGGGATGGTTGGATCTGGCGCTTTGACCGCGTCCTAGCTCAGGACCAGGTCCAAAGCGTGGCCCGGGGTTCGCGGGAGGAGTCGCAACTGCCACCGCACGACTCGGACAACGCGGGGACCCCGTCCCGGCTGAGCCGACCCCAAAGGGTGGCCGACCTGGGGTGCGCCGGTCGACCCCGTGGTGGCCGGGCCTACGTAGGCCGACCCCGGGGTGCCGAGCCCATGTTGGCCGACCCCGGGGTGGTTCGTCACTCCGTGTGCACAGTAGCCGGGGACCCCATGATAGTAGCCGGGGACCCCGTGATAGTAGCCGACGACCCCGTGGTAGTAGTTAAGGACCCCGGGGAGGCAGACCCCTCCATGGTCTGTCCGGCCGCGTGCGTAGTCCACTCGGCGCCGGGGGTGATCTGCTCCATATTTCTTTGCTCCAGGTCTGCTCTGTAATTATTCTATCACCATGTATGGATCATAGTTCATGCAAATTATTCTATGGACCTGAGTCCACCTTACAATGTGGACTTGGGTCCAAAACGGCGTCGTTTTCCTACCAAACGATTGCCATCTTACTTTTTAAAAAAATCACTTTTATTTTTTTAAACAATTTTGAATGTTGATGTTGTTCTGACTTAGCTACACAATTTACATACTAAATATTCACAATTATCTTTTAAAAATTTACAATTTGCATACTACGAACACACAATATTAAACATATCACGATTTGATAATTTTGTATTGTATTAAAAAAATTCCTTCTACAGTTGTTAAGTTTTTTTACTTAGAAACACAATTTATATTTTAGAAGTTCACGTTTTCATACTATAAATACACAATTTATAGGTCGTTTAAGACCAGGGTCCATCTTGCAAGGTAAACATTGGCCCATGGTATAACAACTCATAGCAATCGTTACATCGGTTATATCGTGCACCAGCGCGCACAATGCATTGTGCGCCCTATCCAAAACGACGTTGTTTTGTATGTTCAGATTTTATGTGTATTCTGTTAATAATTTATGTGTATTTTGTTTGTGTATTATGTTAAGAGTTTATATGTATTATGTTAATAGTTTATGTATATTCTGTTAAGAGTTTATGTGCATTATGTTATGAGTTTATATGTATTATGTTAAGAGTTTATGTGTAATATGTATTATGTTAGATTATGTATATTCTGTTATGAGTTTATGTGTATTATATTATGAGTTTATGTACATTCGAAACAAGAATTTTATTTTTTTTAGTGTTAACGGTAGAAACGGAAAACGAAATTTCTAAAAAAAAAAAAAAAAAAAACATAACCAAAACGACGTCGTTTTGGCCAGGACGCACAATGCATTGTGCGTCCTTGTGCACCATATAATTTGCCCAACTGAGTCGTTATGCTGTGCATCTATGTGCACCATGCACGGTGCACACAGATGCAAAAACGACGTCGTTTTGACGTCGACTTAAAAAAAAAATAATTCAGAATTGCATAACTACACATTCATAATTTCATAACTATACATCCAGAATTGCATAAATATACATCCGAATTGCAGAACTATACATCCAGAATTGCATAACTACACATCCATAACTTCATTACTATACATCCATAATTGCATAACTACACATCCATAACTTCATAACTATAAATCCAGAATTGCATAACTTCATAACTACACATCCATAATTTCATAACTATAAATCTAGAATTGCATAACTATACATCCATAATTTCATAACTATACATTCAGAAATTATGCACAACATAATGTTGTTGATGGGAATCAAAACTGAATTATTTTTTTTAAATTGGACGCGCGTTTTTAGTCAAAATGATGTCATTTTTGCATCTGTGTGCACCATGATGCACATCATAATTTGCCATAAAATAGCCCAAAAGGGATCAAGGGACAATGAAAGGCCCAACTGAAACACTTTCCCTATAATTAGTACAGTCGTTATATCGTAGACCGCGGTGCACGTGCACTGCGGTAAAAAACGGCGCCGTTTCTTTAAGTAAAAAAACGGCCCGCCGTTATAGTTAACGGAGTCCGCTTGTTTGGTGTATTAAACACCAACTGACACTATAGTATATCTAAACCAACACTGCAGTTATATCAAAATGATACTGCAGTTATAGTGAAATGAAACTGCAGTGTATATAAAATGAAACTGAACAACATTTCACATATTTGAGTGTATATTCTACAATGAAGCTGTAATTATATCAAAATGATCATGTAGTTGTGTTTTAATTAAACTATAGTGTATATAAAATAAAATTAAATAACATTTTCACATATTTGAATCTATAAATATCGAATGAAACTGTAATTGTGTTGAACTGACACTGCAGTGTATACAAAATGACACTGAAAAACAGGGTTACTTTTTGCAAAAGGGTGCGAAACGGCGAAAAACAAACACTGTTTATTTTTATTTAAAAAAAAAAAAACGCACGGTGCATTATATAATTTGCCTAATTAGTATGGTTAGGGCAATGGGTAATGATTCAGGCCAACTGGTGCAAATGAGCCCAGAGGGGATCAAGGGAAAATGAAAGGCCTAACTAAGTAACTCAGTAAGTGCAACTTTCCCAATCATTAATAATTCTTTATAGAAATATTTCATTTTTGAATAATAATTTAACAACATTGCATCGCTGACAACTAAAGAAGTAAAGAACTAAAAATGTTGGTGCTAATTATAGAGAGCTTAATTCTATTTTTTTGCTATAACCTGCAAAAAAAGGGTTATTTTTGTTGGAAAAAATAGCTTAAAATGACATAAAATAGCATGTTAAGTGGCTATTTTGTGGTAGTGAGACGAAGAGATTGATATATTGTACGTTCAAAACGGATAATAGGTGAATGTGATATTGATTCTCAAAGTAGACCCATTAAGTTGGAAAAATAAGAAAGGTGAAGTTTTTGTCCCACATTGGTTTGGGAAGAGGATTTGCCCCGCTATTTAAACAAGAGCTCGTGTAAGGCTTATTGAGTTGTATAGCATAGAGGTTCTCTTTTGCGCGTAGGGAGTGTAAATCAAATCCCAAAATGAGATTGAAAAGGGGGCTTGATTCAAGCCTAAGCTTGTGTGCGTTGGCGTCTATCGTGAACAAATGATAGCTAGAGAGGGTAAACTCTCTGCTTCTACTCCTTTCTTGGCGTACTGTGTTCAGAGCTTTGCTTTAGTTCGCCGAGTTCACTTGTTTGGGTGCTCAAACGTTGAACCGTAGTACGTTTTATCCTGGGAAACCTAGCCCTCTTAGCACTTGTGGGAGGTAGCAAATAAGGTTTTAAGGAAAGAGTGATCGCTCGACTCGTGTTAAAAATCCTACACCAAACACGAGTCTATCTCTTCATCATTTCCTTCCCCTTTTTTCCACAAAAAAATAATAATCCTTATTTTGTAGGATTATTATTCGTTTTTACCAACGGTTATTCAACAATTTTCTCTAAGAAAAATTGTGTTTTTGGTCTTTAAATTATAGGACAAACATTAGGAATGTCAATCTTAACCTGAAACTGATAAATTAATCCAATAAGACAAAAAAAATTTAGGGTTAGTGTCAAAATATTTTAGACCAATGAACTCAAAACCGATAAGTGTAATGACCTGAATGGGCTAGCCCGATAATCTTAGTCACTTAAGACTATTCTTTATTTTAGTGTTGTGGAACAAAATATACAAAGATTTTATATGTAAGCTAATATTTAGTTTTTTTTTTATTAAATTTGTAAATAAAATTGTAATAAATATATTAATAAATTTGTTACAAAATAAAATATGTTTATGAAAATAAATAATGAAAAATAAAATACCCATTATAATTATTATATTATAGTGTAAATATATTAATTAATTACTTTTAGTACAAAGATTTTACATCGTTGTAACCAAAACAACTCTTCCTGCCTCAACAATGTCTCGAGCTCACATTCAGCCTCCAATAATTCCTTAACTGCCTGCGACGTTCTGTCCTCCTTTAACACTGCCAAATGACATCGCAATTTTTTTTATACAGTTCCCAAATTGCCTGGCATGTTCCCCGTTCCACCCCTTCAATTGACGGTTGCAAATATCAATTCACTACCGGAAGCCCATTTCGATCGTCTGACTACATGCCGCCTCGACCTCTTTTGCACATCTTGCGTTAAGTAGCCAGGCAGATTCGAATTTAAACGAACTCCTGGCTGCACGTATTAGACGCGTCTCTAAGTTGTGGAAGATGGCACTATGATCCGAAGCTACTGTAAAGATTTTACGTACCGCTGCTTCCTCGTGCAACCCCACCCAATTAATCGATGCCACCGCCCTGTCTAGCCTTTCCTCCACCCATGCCTCTGTTCCATGGCTTTTTTCCCACGTAAACCGATCCCCCAACATTCCCAGATCATTAAGCTGGTAGTCGCTTAGCGCGTCATTGAAGCATTCAATGATGGCGTCAGGATGTGAATGGTCACCCCGTTTTTCAGAGAGAAATGCAATGTCGTTAAAGTATCCCACGACAACCCAAGGGAGTGATGATCTGTGCTTGAGCTTTCGCAGAAGATCCCACGTAATGTGTCTCTTTGATCTCTCCGGATTACTATAAAAATCGGTTAACCTCCACTTTGGCCTGCCTGGTAGCGTGACTTCCATGTCTATATGATTGTTAGAGAAACTCAGCAGTGAAGCCGACTTCGCATCCCTCCACAATAGCGCTAGACCACCTCCCAAACCCACACGATCCACATTCACCGCCCCTTCAAATCCCATCTTCACCCTCACCTGTTCCACTTTATCTACATTCGCTTTCGTCTCCATTAAGAAGACAAAAAAGGGTCGCTCCTTGGACACTATGCCCAAGAGTTCACGAACTGTCCGGGTGCCACCCAAACCCCGGCAGTTCCAGCTGAGGATACTCATTTGGCCAGGCGAGTTTGGCCCTCCAGACCCGCCGTCATAAGATTTTTTGAATTCTCAGGTATCACCACGTCCTTCACAGTCGCTGCACCATGCGACTCATCATCCTCCGTACGTCTTTTCAGTTCCCCCTGCAACCCAATGCTCTCCTGGACCGTCACCAATGCCAACGGTGAGGGTCCTGTTATAGTAGACGTCGTTGTTAACGGGGTGTCAGACGGCAGTAGCCATTTTGACCCCACTGGTTTGGCTTGCCGTCTCAATCCGACTCGCATCCAACTTCCGAATGGAAACGAATCAGGTTGAATACCATCTTCGTAGACTTTCTTATAGAATTTATTGATGTGGCCCAGGATTCCACAGTAGAAGCAGAAGGCATTTAGTCTTTCGTAACGAAAATAGATCCATTGTGAGGATCCATCTTTGCACATTAGTTTCATACGTCTCTTCAATGGCATTTTAACCAACATCTTCACCCTGATCTGGTAGAAACTCTTCCACGATCCCCCGAAATTGACGGGATCAATCGCGACAAAGGATCCTACGTAATTGCCGATTCGGGTAAGGAATTCCGAGGAAGCATACATCGCTGGTAACCCGTGGATTTGAACCCAGAAAGCAATGGAGTCCAATTGGATATCCAACGGCCGCATCTCCGAAGGTACTCGCTCGCACATAAACATGTGATTCTCAAACGACCAAGGGCCGTCGTCGAGAATCCTCTACAGATCTTTCGAATGAGGGAACCGAAAAAGGAACAGCTCTTCCGTTAATGCTTCCGCCTGCATGCCCATCACCGACCGCCATACCGACGCCATGACTTATTGCATGTAGTCAAATTTAATCGGGCGATTGGTGAGAAAATGCCCAATCAAACAGTGGAGATTTGCCGCAACATTTGGGCTCGGTAGATCAGGGGCCTCTAGGCCGCTCACCTCTTCCTCGGCGATCGTCAGGTAAGCGCAGTGCTCCTCAATTTGTCGAATATCCATGGTGAGATAGGATATGAGAGCTAGAAAACAAATTATCAATGGTGTATTCATTGGAGAATAAAACATAATAAAAACCCTAGAATTCTAGGGAGATACTGTCTTGGACACGATCAAGAGAGAGAGCCACTAACGGCGAACTCGATCGGAATACACGATCGACGATCACGATCCGGTATTACGAGAATTGCGGAGCATGTACTCTAATTACAAAGGCTAGTGATTTTTACCTTTCTGTATGGAGGTCTATTTATGCAAGTGGGCTTAAAGTTCTAAAAGAGAATAAATTCCTAGACTGCCTCATCAGACAATAACTTTGTTTTCTTTGTAAATTCATTTAAGAAAAAAATCACTTTTTTAGTCGCTCAATTGTATTGTAACCATCAATTTAGTCCCTAATTTTCAATCTGAACGAATTGACCCTCCAATTGATTTAAATTTCGTCAATTAAATCCCCTAACCACGATTTTGTCAGTCAGTCGTTAGTTACCCTAAAGGATATGTTTGACAAAATTTAAAACAATTGTAGGGATTAAATCGTTCAAATTGAAAATTAAGGACTAAATTGACAGTTGCAAAACAATTGAATGACTAAAACAATGATTTTTCCTTCATTTAAATACTTTTTAACAAACAAAAGTACTCCTATAGCTAAATGTTTTTAAAATAATTAAGGTTAGTTAAGAAAATACTAGTAATAAAGTAAAAAATGCAATACTTTTAAGTCAAATAAATTTTGATTTCCTTTAACCAAATGTGTAGGGGTGTGCAAACTTCAATAGAAAATCAATTAACCGACCAAATCGAAGAACTTTGGTTAACAATTTTTTAACCAATATAATTTAGTTCAGTTAATGGTTAGAGATTTTACATAATGCATACTATCGATTAATTTGGTTCGAAATTATCATTTAATTGAAGGGAATCAAAATTTTATTGACTTAAAAGTACATCATTTTTTTTTCATTTTATTACTAGTATTTTCTTAACTTCTCTTAATTAATTATTTTGAAAACATTTAGCTATATGATTATTTTTATTCTTTAATGAATATTTAAATAAATTTACCGAGAAAACAAAAATAGAGTCATATGTTTTTTACTTAAAATATATTTTTGATATGTGCTCTATAAGAAAATTGATGAATTTATATATTTATCATTGTATTACCCCTTAATTTTAACTGCTATTTGAAATGAGAGATTAAATGATTAGGGAGTAAATGAGATGACATGTATAATTAGTTAGCTATTCTACTGAATGATTAAAATGACCATTCTTCCATATTTTTATAAACCTGAGCCATGATAAAATTTGATGTGGCTGTGGCCACCTCTAATTACTGCAAAATATATAGTATGTACCATGAATATCTTTTGAAAAATACACTATATATCATTGTCCCCCATTTGCATATTTTCGCTGGTTAACCTTTAAAAGCTAAACCATGACACATATACATACAAAATATATCTAGGAAAATTCTTAATACTGCAAATATATTTAGGAAAATTCTTAATTATATAGTCAAATTTCCAAGAGTTCTCCCCATTTTACTCAAAGGTATGAAGAAATGACATCTAATTTTACTGTTGAGCATATTGTGGAGGTATTGTTTTGGAACTTGGAAGTCTTGAGAACTTGTCTGTCATCTAAGTATATTGTTGTAGTGCTTGTTTGTTTTCTTGTACTAGCTTGAGATAATAACAGAATTTGATTTGATTGGAATAATAAATATTTCTTCAGATAACACTTGAAACATGATGTATTTGATTATGTAATGATTTGTAGAATTCTTTAATATGAGAACAGATCAGCACTCGCACTAATGTCTGTCACATTTTGTGGTTGTGCAGACCAGGGAAAGGATTTGGATGAGTTTTTTTTACAGTCAATAGCAGGTTCATATCTAACTATCTAAGCACCTTATTATGCAGTTACTATGTTTAGACTTTCCACCTTATTTGTTCTTTCCCCTGTCTTATAGAGTATTTATTATGCTCTAAAGATAAATAACTTGTTTGCTTCGTTTTTTAGTTTCTTCTTACTCTTATTGGATATGGTTCCATCATACTTTGCTCATGTTCTGTCTCTTGATTTAGACTAAATTGCTTCACCTTAGTGTCTATGTTGGGCTGCACTTGTACTCTAAATATACTTCGTGGAGAAGCTACGGTAAATCGGCGGCGTGGAAACGAAGCTCAAGCTCCCTCTCAGCGATGTCAATGTCCGCAAACCTCTTCTCAGCATCATCACGGTCTTCCTTTGAGTCAACTATTGAACTACATGAGTATATGTACAGATTTTCGTGGATGGATAAGAAGGAAGATGTCAGCCATGGCTACGGCCTACGGGTTAACAGAAAAAGGAGTTATTTTGATTTTAATGGTGTATATGGAGAAGAAGGGCGTATATGGTGGAGAAGGACGTATTATATGAGGAGCATGTTAAAAGACTGTTTTAGCCCTCATTTTAATGTCTACTTAACTAGCTTGGGACGGAAGGATCAACATTGGAAACATTTTGATAGTCAAGTGTCTAAATTGTCCAAATTGAAAGTCGAGGACCAATTATGGAAAGAGAAAATTTCAATTTCAGTCATATGACTATAGGGGCTTTGTTAATTTCAGCACCTGACTTTCAAGAGTGTCAATGTAGTGCCTTTTTTTTTTTTTCTGAAAACCAAAGGCATTAGTATTACTAAATCAGTAAACTGGAGATACAATCTGGAGGTACAATCGATCACACACCCGAGTCAGCCGAAGAATCCGTTGCTCGTGCAAGGACATGAGCCACTCGATTCGCTGATCTCTTAACATGGCGAACAACAACGTTCCCAATGTCTCTAGCAATCAACAAACATTTTCTTCACAATAGAATCTACATAAGAAAAATCCAAATGATTAGAATGAAAAGCATTGCAAAAAAGTAAACAATCAGTTTCTATGATTAAGCGATCGTGGCCAAGCCCACGAAGCCAAGAGAGAGCTTCTTTAACTGCACATGCCTCTGCCATCAAAGGATCCCGAATGCAGACCAACCGGCCATTCTTCGCTGCCACAAAGCTACCCCCGTGGTCTCGTATTACCGCCCCGAAGCCCACGGTATCGACCAGAATTGCGGCGTCCACGTTGCATTTGAGCCAGTGTCGTGGATGAGGTTCCCAGATGACACAAACATCATCGATACCTGCTCTGGGAGCTGCCAGCTTGTATGCGTCCTTCCAAGTGGAGATCAGCCATAGAACGTGACTATGCACCACCGCTATGTCCCACAACTTGTTCCTCCATACCCGATCATTCCTCACGATCCACAACATCCAAAAAACTGCAGCCATATGCATCGCCCTCTCCCCACTTGAACTGGATAAAATAGTTTCAATAAAAGCTTGAATAGAAGCCCCTTGTAGCACGTCGTCTCTCTTCCAAATCTGCCGTGCTGTCCAACACTCGCCTAGCAAATGTTCGGTTGTTTCTGCATACTGTCCACAAAGCGGACACCAGCCCCCAATCCACACATGTTTAGTCTTTATGTTTTCACGAACCGGAAGGATGCCACGAGCGTAGCGCCAAATTAAATTACGTACCTTGGGTGGAATTGGCAAACTCCAAATCTTCTCTCACACAGCGAACTCCCCAGGGGTATGCAGAACACAATCGGCTGTTAGAAGCTTATACTCATGCTTGACCGAATAAGCTCCTCGAATGTCACCCACCCACCCGCCAAGAGTCCGGCACATGAGCTGCTATGGGGGTAGCAATAATCCTGCGCACGTCTGATTCTTCAAAGAGGTCGTTGAGGATCTCCTCGTCCCACTGTCCACGTTCATTCATAAGACCACTGATAGTAGCCTCCCGTAGAGCGTCCACCGGAGCTGTAATAAGACTGGCAGTAGATGGATCAGCTAGCCAAGGCCAACTCCAGATTTTTGTGTCCTTACCATCCCCGATATGGCGTGCTAAGCCCTCTCGCAAAACACCCTAACCTACCATGATGCTCCGCCATATGTAACTTGGGTTGTGACCAATATTAGCCTCCATGAACTCACATTTCGGAAAGTACTTTGCTTTCAAGGGCCGACTAACCAGCGAATGCGGAGTAGTCAATACACGCCACCCCTGTTTGGCAAGCAATGCAATATTGAACTCGTGCAAGCGTCGAAAACCCAGCCCACCCCGACATTTTGGCACACTTAAACAAGACCAACTCATCAAGTGCACACCTCTACCATTCGACACTCCTCCGCCCCACCAGTAGCGATTGAATAATTTTTCTATCTTATCGCACAACCGACCTGGTATCAAGAAGACAGACATAGTAAAATTTGGGAGGGCCTACGCAACACTTTTTAACATGACTTCTTTACCTGCTTTCGATAAGAAACGATGTTGCCACGACCCTAACCGCTCCCGAACCTTCTTCTCTATGTACCGAAAGGTGGCCGATTTATTACGCCCCAGGACTGAAGGTAATCCTAGGTAGCGGCCAAAATCTGCCGTCTCTCGAACCCCCATGCATGCCATGACCATCTCTCTCGTCCCAGTACCCGTGTTTGAACTAAACATGATGCTAGATTTTTCATAGTTGAAGAGTTGCCCCGATGGTGCACTGTAGCTATCCAGACACCCCTTAACTGACTGAGCCTCCCCATTAGTAGCCCTGAAAAAAAAGCAGACTGTCGTACGCAAAGAATAAGTGCGTCACGGCCGGAGCCCCATGCGCAATTCGAACCCCATGAATGTCACCCCGCCCCTCAGCCTGCTACAGAAGGACAGACAATCCTTCGGCACAAATGATGAAAAGGTACGGGGATAAAGGATCCCCTTGGCGAATGCCACGGGTTGGACACACTGATCCCACCCCGACCCATTAACTTGAATGTTATACCTAACCGTGGTAACACAATGGAGTAGGAGATCAATCCACTTCCGCTCAAAACCAAACACTTCTAACATTCCTTTCAGGTAGCCCCATTCCATCCTGTCGTAAGCTTTGGCCATGTCAAGTTTCAGAGCTGCCCACCCCATCGCTCCATTCGTCTTCCTCCGCAAAAAATGGCCCACCTCCCCGGCAACAATGATATTATCCGTGAGCAACCTGTTGGGAACAAAGGCACTTTGTGATTGTGAAACCACTGTGTCCAACACTCCTTTCAGCCTGTTTGCCAAAACTTTTGCAATGACTTTAGAGGCCACATTGCAAAGTGCAATTGGCCGTAAATCAGTGACCTTCTCTGGTATCTTCTTTTTAGGAATCAAAACAATGTTTCACTCATTGAGCCCCGCAGGGAAAGAGGCCGTTGAGATACACTGCAGGACGAACATGGCCAGATCATGGCCCAACACTGGCCAGAAATGCTGGAAAAAGGCAGGCGTCATTCCATCTGGTCCCGGGGCTTTCTCCGGGGCCATGGAAAAAAATGCAGCCTTAACATCGGCCACCGTAAAAGGCTGTTGCAAATTCGCATTCATATCCTCGGTGATCCGTGGATGGACCCGATCAAGCATATTAGTCGTGTTATACTCGGACTGAAAAATAAAGTTATAGTACCTGAGGACCTCAATGTTCAAGTTCGCTCCTTCCTTCCAAACTCCCTGGGAATTCTTCAGTCGGGACAAAGTATTGCACCGTTTTCTTAAAGAAGCCACCTTGTGAAAATACTTAGTGTTCGAATCCCCATGTTTAAGCCATAATTGTTTAGAACGCTGCTTCCAAAATAGTTCTTCTTGATCGAGAAGCGAAGTTATCTCTTCTTCGGCCTCCCTATACTGTTGCACCGCGGCTTGAACCCTATTATCCCGTAACTGATCCAGCATACGGCGGAGCACCGTAATGGGCCGGCCAAACTTCCGCCTGTACTCCCCTCCCTACCGGCCCAACTGTTGCGCACATAGAGTAAGCCGCTGTTGAAAATCTAAACCAGAAGACTGTCTCCAGGCTGTATACACCACCTTACCGCATCCCTCCTTCAGAAGCCATGCCGATTCGAAACGGAATGTCTTTGCAGATTGCCGTATCGGCCGCGGTTCTAAGTCCAGAAAAATGGCATTATGGTCTGACTCGAATGTTAAGAGATTGTGAACTTCTGCTCCCTCATGCAAATCCATCCTGTTCATCGATGCAACCGCTCTATCAAGTCTCTTCTCCACCCAACTTTCAGTTCCCCGTCCTCGTTCCCATGTGAAGCGGGAACCCGTCATCCCTAAGTCTACCAAAGAACAATCACTTAAAGTTAAATTAAAACCATCTATAAGGGCTTCCGACTGCAGATGTGTACCACGCTTCTCGGATTGGCAAGAGATATCGTTGAAATCCCCGAGAACAACCCAAGGGAGATTCGAATGATCCTGCAATTGCCTCAGTAAATCCCAAGTTTCGTGCCTTTTAGATTGATCAGGATTCCCATAGAAACACGTAAGTCGCCACAGTGGTTTATCCGGTATGCTAACCTCCACATCCATATGATGATTGGA